GGCACAGAGTCAAACAAATACTACAACAACTCCACATCCGTTGTCGTGGTCTTGTGTGCCGATGTGGGCGTCGAGAAACAAGACCGGATGATCTACGCCATCTGGCAACTGGCCAGTTTGTTCGTCATCCCAACTGGCATCCTTCTCTTCTGCTACGTCAGAGTCATCTGCATTCTTTGGCTGAGCACCCGGCAACTGCAGACAATGACGTCACCCAGCAGGTAGGATCATGTCCTGGAGTTAACTCTTGTGGTCTCAAGCAAGGCCTGGTTGTGAGTGGCCCTATTCCTTGATTTCCCTCCATAGTGTGTGTGCTCTCTTACTTTAAGTGTTTAGAAGAAAAAAAAAAAAGAAATTTCAAGGAGGTGAAGAAAAAGGGTTAAACAGTTTATGTCAGCTTTAAAAAAAACAATTACAATGAACAAACAGAAGACGTTGCGGCGATTAGACTTTATCAGCAAACAACGACAATAGACCAAACACAACACGCACATGCATATATATATATATCCTTAAAACGTCTGAATATTTACGAAGGGAGGGGGTTGTGGTTGGTACAGGGTTGATTTTACCTTGTTAAAGCTTCGGCGAGCGCTTTTTACAACTAGCCTTCTGTAAACATTTTCGGAGTGTGCTAAACCACACGGAAAGCACTGTCTATTTAAACTTATGTTTAAACTGCTAATCGATAAGCAATTACACAAATGGGAAAGGGTTGCCCTCGGGAATTGGATAATCGAGGTCATACTTATGTATTCAAGAAAAAAGATCTAGTTTCCCCAATAGTATATTTTACCACTTTAAAAGTGGTAATGCAGTCATGTTTTTTTTTTCCGTCATGGTTATTTATTCGCTTCGTCATCCCCTCTGAAATCTTCTGGTATTAAAAGATTTAAGTAATCACATCAAATCACTGCGTAACATGAAACAGGTCCTTTGCAGAATGTCGCTCTCATCACGGTCTGCCTCGAAGAAACCGGCCTCTCTCCAGCTCTCCTTCCTCGTGTACTTTAAATTCAAGGAGTCACATATATCCTATGCCCATCTTCGTGTTTGTCGACCCCTGGCTCTCCTTCCTGGCACCAGCCTTCTGCTATTTTTTTAACCAATTCGCCATGACGCTTGATATGACCAAAATATTTCAGTTCACGAAACAAGATGCTGCTAATTAGCCAATCTTCTTTGATGCTCAAATCTTTTCAAATGGAATTATTTGTTCTATTCTTTGTCCGTGGTATTGTGAGAATCTTTCTATAGCATTTCAGCTCAAAAGCCTCTATTTTCTTTTTTAACGGCTGGAAGATAGTCTACCACTCACATCCATATGTTGCTACAGGAAAGATGCATGTTCTCAAAATTTTAATGTTTATATCCTTGCTGGTACTTAAATGTATGCTGTTTAATCTTTGCATTGCTATGGCCATCCTCTGTTTGATTTCTGTCACACAGTCCCCATTGCTATTTATTACAGAGCCTAGATAATTAAAAAGAAAGGGGGCGGGGGTGGGTCCGAAGAAGAGGGTCGCATAGAAGAACTTGGAATGATAACATCAAATGAACAGGACCAAGTTATCCTAATTGGAAGACAGCGAAAGATGGCGGATTTCGTGTGTTATTGCTTCCATAAATACACCTCCATGACTCCAACTGGTCAAAGGGGTATGTTATATCATAAATAACCCAGGGAGGTAAGTGTTAGACGGGGTGAAAAACTACAAAGGACGTGACTCATTTTGTGTGTGCTGCACATTGAAGCACTTTGGGGTGAGAGAGCCCTATAGCCAAATAAGACGATTCTCACTAAAGGTGTATAGAAGTAAGATGATGGATATTTATTGGATCTTCGTATATTCCTAGCCGTGTGGTGTTGGTAATCATGTCAGTCCACTCCCATTTATCTCATACCTTTTTCCATGCTACAATGTCACACTGTCCAACTTCTTTTCTCTTGGTCGCCATCTTCTTCCCTTTCCCTCAAACCTTTCAGCTGTTTTGACCTACTCTAGTATTTCCATTCTCATGAGGCAGAAGACTGGCTGGTTTTGCACTATTTGGTGGTGAACTGATGTATGACAATCTAGATGTCCTGATAACTCACAGGGAGTGAGTTAACAGTGCGGAGGTACAAATAGATCATTACGGTCTGAGGACAATGGCACTGCGAGGAGTTAGTAGAGGATCTGGCCGACGCTCAACACTCAAGGAAAAGGCGAGACGGATGTACAGTCAGACACTTACTGGTGCCATCAGAAAGGGAACTCTTCGCTAGCTGCTGAAGATGTGGACAGGCGCTTATGCGACTGTCCTAGTGTTATGATGTCGATTGTAAATTCAGTATTCAGCATTCTCGTGACATGTCAAAAGAATGCAATTCGTGTGTGTTCTGTTATAACTCTTTCTTGGTGACTTCTTGTAACTTCTTGTAAGACATCTTGATTGCATGTTGTATCTAGTCATGGTGTTCTCTTCATTCTTCTAAGAAAAACTACACCCCAGCTGTTTTCACATAATTGTTTTCAATAATTGATTAGGGGGGGGGGGGGGGGGACTGACAGGAACCTTACACTTTTGAATAGTCATAGTATTTGAAGTTTGAAGTTTGAACAACGGATCAACATCATGGCACACGGGTACACCTACAAGTGCTCCGTTCTTTCTGCTAACTCAAGTCTGAGTCCGAAAAAGTTCCGCACAGTGCACAGGCTCTGTAGCACCGGCAAGGATCCTGAAGTACTTTTGGTAGATTTCCAACTGCCAAGGGATTTTTTACGTGTGCAACAATGCACACGGGCGTCCGATCTCACTAATACAACCATTTTGCTATTCAAATATTTATAAATGTTATTAATTTCTTTAATGTGACTTTTTGTGAAGCTGCATGGTCTCGGGGCATGGTGTACGCCTCGAGTGCTAGGGGTTCCGGGTTCAACCCTTGGTAAGGGCTGGGATTTTTTTTCTCGTGGACTTCGACTTCTAGTATTTCCCCTGAGTAAATTATTTATTATCTTTTGTAAATGATATCACATACCCCTTAAATTTGTTCAAGAGACTTCATGGAATCCGCAGAACACCAAATGGGAAATAATAGCCTTTGCTAGATAGTTTTATATATACATATAAAAATATGTAATAGCCACGGTGGAAATTCAAACACAAAATCACATAGTCGTCTAGCAAGCGTAGTGGCCATTACGTTACCTAGATTTACTAAAGAACTGGTTAGAAACAAAGGGCCAGGCTGTTACTATGCTTTTCATAAACAGTCATACAGAGCTTCTGAAGCGTAGCAGATAATCCATAAAGAAATATTACTTGCATGTCTGTCTGTTTAAATTCTTGTTAGATTTGGACCACGACGGACAGATCAATCCAAAAACTTGACCCTTAGAAACGGAAGTTCGTCAACCAGGGTCAGGTCAAGTCCATGTTTGCGGGCGGGGGAGGAGGCTTTACAAGCTAGAAAACAGGTATGCTATTGGCAACATGCTACATACACATTGTTTGATGTTTATTAAGCCACAATAATGTAAGGTTCCTTTCTGTTACGTCACCACATCACGAGAGATTTGGGGAAATCCCATAGTATGGGTGGTTAGGGTTAGAAGTAGTCGCTATTCATTAAACACTAACCCTAACCCCTCTATACTATGCAATTTCCCTAAATCTCGTGAAGTGGTGATTTAACAACAACAACAAAAAAGAACCTTTTGTAGCGCTGGATTTCAGAAGAGCACACAACAAAGAAGGGAATGTTCTTTGAAATGAAGGCGGCCGGTGTGACGATGATCGCATCATCCTTGGAGAGCCTGCTATGTATAAAAACAAGAGTCTGGCACCCCCGCACAACACCGACAACAGCACAAAACATGTGTGAACTACATAGAAAGATTACATAGTACAGAGGTTCCCAAACTGGGTTCCGCAAGCATATGGCAAGGGTACCGCGGCGAAAAAAAGTTTCAGAACCCCTGACATAGTATATCACAAGAGTAAATTTCCTCATTAAAAAAAAGTCGGGTATACATATACATACAATCCTTGCGTTCACGTGACTGCTGGTTTCGCCAGTTTGATATGACAGTTACGGTTGCCTATATTTGGAGGGCTGAACGGGATTTCTGAATTGTGACCTGTTGGTCTGACATCCAGACTGAGATTTTGCAATCCCAGGGCTGTCAGATATTCGGGTAGCAGACCCCGGGGGGGGGCGGGGGTAAAACGACAAAGTACAATTATGACCGACGCTGCAATGGCACGAAAATGGTCCTTGACAGACTTCTTTTTCTCCTCTTGTTATCTCATCAGCGTCTGTGGCTTAGGCGTCATGAGTGCACTTTGTAATGCCGGGGTGCTGGGTTCGATCCCCGCTGCAGGCAATTTGGCAGCAGACCGTCTTGCGTTGGCTTCGACAATGGTACCGAGAGCCGACCGTGCAGTAAGCAAACTAGTAAATGTAAATTTGCATAGAAAAACAACAACAGCCAAACAAATGCTGCGGTAGGTTCTGCAAAATCCTGTAAGAAATACGCAACAACTAAGTTTTGAACCTCATCGAAGCACTGAATGGAGATATAGAGGTCTATTGTGCGCTTTTTTTCAAAAGCTTTGTATAAATTGCTTGCCCTTTCCGTAAGGTTGTTCTTTGTGCTATTCGTCCATATCTTGCTATGTCTTCCTGTTGCTCTGTGGTATAGTATGTGCTACTTACCGTGAAGCTTGCCAAGAATTAAATCTTCTTGAAAATGATGCACGTTGGGACACTTCACTCGCTGAGGCTTTGAATACTGATAGACCACAGCAAATACGCACTTTTTTTGCAATAATATTAACAACTTGCTTCCCATCCAATTCAAAAGATCTTTGGAAAAAATACAGACTACATGAGTGAAGACATCCTACATCGCTGGCGTGAAACGAAGCAAGATAATAAGGACCTTCAAATCACACCAAATGTATATAATGTCTAAATAAGGCTCAGTCTAGGAGCCGGTTGAAAGAGGCATGAAGTTTTTTTTGTTTTTGTTTCGAACACCAATTACCAATAATGTCTAAAATCATCAGTTTTATGGCGACTCGCCTTTGCAATGACCATAAACAAATGACAGGGACAATCGCTACAAGTGTGTGGACTACATTTGGAACATCCATGCTTTTCACATGGACAGCTATATGTGGCATGTTCACACGTCGGAACACCTTCTGATCTATTCTTGTACGCGCCAGATGGAAAAACAAAGAACATTGTATACCTAAAAAGCACTTCAGTAAACAGGCGTGAAACGAAGCAAGATTTCTATTTTCTTTCTTTTCCATTTAGCCAAACTATGCCATAGCAACGCGTGGCCGGGTACAGCTAGTATATATATATATATATATATATATATATATATATATATATATATATATATATATATATATATATATATATATATATCGTCGTGGTCCATTATATATATATAATGTCTTATTCCTCCTATTATTATTATTTCAACTATAAAATGAGGTACAAATGAATAATTGTTTGCACGGAACGGTGTGGAAGGGCAAAATGTTAGACGGGCATGCGTGCCCAATTCTTAACCCTTTAAAAATAAAGTTTGTTCTCTTCTCTCTCTCTTCTCTGTCTCTCTCTCTCTCTGTCTTCTCTCTCTCTCTCTCTTCTCTCTCTCTCTCCTCTGTCTCTCTCTCTCTCTCTCTCTCTCTCTCTCTCTCTCTCTCTCTCTCTCTCTCTCTCTCTCTCTCTCTCTCTCTGTTTTTAATTTCATTTTTTAAAATTTTTTTTTTATTTCTGCTATCTGACTTTACTTATATGAGGATGCCCGGCTCTCTAGCGGAATTGGCTAAACCGGATTTCGCGGAGACCGGGTGACGTACTCCTTGTGGTCCGGGTTCAATCCCGGGGGTAGGCAGGAAAGCCACATTTTTTCCCAGATTTACGGTATTTATCATGGAATCAAGGCCGAAAGGTTGCGATATCCATAATACCGAGCCTAAGGGTTAACAACTCGTGGCTTCTGCATACTAAAACAAACAAACTTATATAAGGATAGTTGCGCTTGTGATATACTATGTGATCTTGTAATGAACTTCGCACATGTTTTGTGCTGTCGTCGGTGTTAAGCGGGGGATGTTTGTTTGTTTGTTTGTTTGTGTTCACAGGCTGCAACCCCAGGAGGGAAGTCATGGTTGTTTGTTCATTTCTAGACTTTGGCTTAGTTCAAGTAACCTAGTTTCACGCTTGCACCCGTTTTACATATCTGGCCCAACTGTTGCATACTCTCAGTTCCTTGCCTCCCGGGTAGATGCACTCCGACATCCAAGCAATCCCCTAACTGATCGACTCCTACTACATACTTGTTGGGGAGGCAGTGGGTCTGTTCTTGTATTCCCCAACAATGAGACCTCGCAACCCACACGGAGGAATAAGTTTTAAAAAAAAGTAAAGGTCCCTTTTCCACGCCTTTAGGCATATAGGGCTAGACCTATATTTTTATAGACCATTTGGCACAAGATTGGTGATGTGGTCAGCATCACACCGGCCGCCTTTACTTCCCAGGATTGCACCCGGTACCCAGTAAAGGCTGGGTCGACCTGGCAGTCAAGGTCATTTTTGAAAAAAGTCAGGCTCCGCCAGGGAGCGAAACCACGACCTTCCGATCCGCACGCAAGGGTCTAGCCGCTATGCCACGGTGACTCCAACAGGGAGGGATGCAGAGGATAAATGGTGCAATAACTTGTTATTTAATTCTGGCTTCTCCTAAGATGTTGTCAACTTACTTCTATAACTATATTTTCAGGTCATTAAAATGTTGATTATCATCATCTTGGTGTTTCTCATCTGCTGGGGTCCCAAGCTGATCGTTCAGGTCATGAAGAAGTTCCACGCTTCAGTTTTATACACACGGCCAGCATTTATAGTCATTGTAAGTAACTGTTCAGGAGACTTCGCCGTCGCTGGTGTATAGTAGTTAGGGCGCTTGCAAGCCAATATAGTGGTACGAGTTCAATCTCCGTCGGAGTTATAACTAATCTTTTTATAAGCTTTTTTATAAGCTTTCTTTTAGGTTTGCTTTTGTTTGTTTGTCTGGTACCATTTTTGCGTTCTATTTATTTCTGAACAGTACAGCAACGGTGTCTTACAATTGATGGTGGAATTTTATGTCTGAGAAGAAACGACGATGAGGAGGGAAATGGCCACATAACTTGTATAGTATGACCAAGATTATGTGAAGGCCTAGCAAAGTAGGTGACCAAGTCATCCTCCGAGAATGGAGGATGGTAGAGCACCCAAGGACATCCTCTATGGTGAATCATAGATGGACAGAGATTTCAAGGTCAACCACTGCTATGATATAAAGATCTATGCAAGGGGGACATTGTCACAAACCTCTGGTATGACCTTGCCGGTCCGTGGCTCGCTAACTAGGCCTATGACAGACAGACTAACCTACAACACACACTGAACCCGAACGCACACAGAGCACACACGACAATCTTTATTGGAAGTACAGGTAATACATAGACAGTTGACTTCCCGCCGTGTGGCCACCTATTGCCTGGACCCTCTGGCTGGACGGGCTTTACAATCGCCCCGTCCCCAGTACGTGCGACAGGCAATACTCTGGTGTACAAACCACAATCCGGCAGGATACGCTCTCTTCTATCGCCACGCTGACCCAATCAAACTGTCACAGTCTCTGTCTTAGTGCAGGGTCAGAGTGTCCAGGTTAGCCACTCTCTCACAGCACATATACATAAATACTCTACACAAGAACTATCCTATCCTAACACAAAAACTGTACATAAACTATCCAGTCACTAACAGAAATATATCCTAACTTTAATACTATAACATAAAAACTATCCAGTCACTAAACGTCCTCTCTTCCTGACCGACGCACACCGAATGTCCCTTCTTCCTTCTCCCTCGTGTCTCTTAACCCCGTTCACCAGCTCAGTCCCAGAAGCAGTCATCGTGTTACTAAAACACAGTTCAGGCTTTCTTGCTTTATCCTGAGCGCTGGTTTCGCCGTGCGATCACAGAACGGACTTGACCAGTGACGGCCCTGACCTCTGTGTCAACCCTGGGTGCACACCTTACGGTGTGGTACACTGACTGTACTTAATAGGGTTGTGACATTCACCCTTCCTCTGAACTGATACTTCCTGACAAAGTCAAGTATCAGCAAAGCATGGCCTGCCATCATGTACAGTCATGTTTTTTAAATTTTATCGTCAATATTTAGTTACCTAAAAAAAAAATATGTCATGTACTTTTGGGTCAATCACCTAAGGACAAACTATCTGGCACATATTTAATGGGTATATACATTCAATGGGTAAGCTCCTCCCTAATGGGTAGAAATGGTATCAGCCCTTGACACAAATACGTCACTACTCATTACACCTTCAAATCGTATGGGTAATGATATAAATAATAATTTGGGTGGACACCCAAATCGTCCGGGACCCAATTACACCTTACTTCACTTGCTGTGCAAGTAAGACGCCACTGTATACACTCCCAAGCCGTTTAACCAACGACACCGTGATTTATAACAGTGGGCGTCATGGACTATCTCCATAAGGCTTGTCCATGGTTGTGAAAAGGAGTCATGACCTGACTCCCCGACCTACAGTCGTATAATGTGTCCGCGAATCCGCAGTACCTGCCAAGACACAAATCACCCCATATGACCCACAGTGCAAAATAGGCAGTAAACAAATCTGTGGCCAGTTGGACACACTCCCCTCCTCCAAGGATAGTGCTACTCCTCAAATGCAATCTCCATATATGCATTATTAGTTACAACATCATTAACTCTTCATGTGAGTGCCCTTGTAAAAGTACAATCTAACTCTCATTTAAATTGTCAATCATCAATTTTAGAAACCAATAAAAAACAATTACAAGAAAAAAACAATAATGAAAATTTAAAGAAAATTTCGTTGTCACTGCTAAACTAAATTGTCAGTTATTTTAAAGTCTACTAGTTTACAAAACTATCTACTCATAATGCACTATTGTCTAACATATACTTTAACAATTACATTTAGTGCACATAGGACACTCAGTTAATATTAAACTCATTGAAACCTTTAATAAAAATAATGGATATCAGATTAAGTTTCAAAAAAAAACCGAAGAATATTATTATTGCAATTCGAAAATTATAAAACAAAAATGATTGCAAATCAAACAATTAACCATTACTTATGTAATCTAACAAAAATCTTTAGTAAAGAAAATAAAATAAAATATATTTGTAGAATCCAAATGGATTGTCCCACAAATAATTTTACACTGAAAATAAATAAGCAAAATACATACATAATAATTTCACAAACAAAAGTCGTTACACTATATTCATTCCAACAAAACAATAAAGTTTACAAAACAAAATAAATAAGCAAAATATACATGAAATAATTTTCAAACTCAAAATTATTTCCCTTTTATAAATACCATCTCAAAAGTTACAAATCAAAATAAATAAGAAAAATAAATACTGATAAATTACTCATCACAAATCGCAACACAATAGTTACAAATCAAAATAAATAAGAAAAATCCAAAAATAAATTACTCTTCATAAATACTAACACAGTGGTTACAAATCAAAATAAATAAGAAAAATCCACAAATAAATTACTCTTCATAAATACTAACACAGTGGTTACAAATCAAAATAAATAAGAAAAATCCACCAATCCAGTCCTTGATTCTTGGCCTCCCACAGAAAGAATGATGAGGATGATGATGATGACCGAGAACGACAGGCCTCGGTTGATCGGTGTCGGCAGAAACCACACAACAGCACACAATCTTGACCTTCCTCACACTTTTTACTGTCCGTCAAACTATTTCTCCTATTCGTCACTAACTTGTCACGACGCAAACGCAGCCCTATCACATTTAGTCCTTATTAATTACAATCAGTCGGAACAAATACGAAAACGATAACAAACTATCACTTTATAGCGCTACGAGTGACCCAAGCCAACCCCGATGTCGCTATCAAAAATTAAGAGTAGGCCCGAACAACGATGCAATATTTAAGAGAATAAACTCAGCAGCGCCATCACCAACTTACTCGATAGCAACATCAAAATTAAGGGATTAACTCAATCACGTTAGCCCTACAATAGTGAACGACAAAACTTAAAGAAAAATAAATCAGTCAGCTAAACATACAAACTAATCTGTGTCTCCTATTTAGACAAATACATTGGGTTCACAATTAACGCAGACAACTATTACTATCTAGCTACTACTATAGATTCAATTCCCAAGGACGAACGCCCCCATAATCTGTCACAAACCTCTGGTATGACCTTGCCGGTCCGTGGCTCGCTAACTAGGCCTATGACAGACAGACTAACCTACAACACACACTGAACCCGAACGCACACAGAGCACACACGACAATCTTTATTGGAAGTACAGGTAATACATAGACAGTTTGACTTCCCGCCGTGTGGCCACCTATTGCCTGGACCCTCTGGCTGGACGGGCTTTACAATCGCCCCGTCCCCAGTACGTGCGACAGGCAATACTCTGGTGTACAAACCACAATCCGGCAGGATACGCTCTCTTCTATCGCCACGCTGACCCAATCAAACTGTCACAGTCTCTGTCTTAGTGCAGGGTCAGAGTGTCCAGGTTAGCCACTCTCTCACAGCACATATACATAAATACTCTACACAAGAACTATCCTATCCTAACACAAAACTGTACATAAACTATCCAGTCACTAACAGAAATATATCCTAACTTTAATACTATAACATAAACTATCCAGTCACTAAACGTCCTCTCTTCCTGACCGACGCACACCGAATGTCCCTTCTTCCTTCTCCCTCGTGTCTCTTAACCCCGTTCACCAGCTCAGTCCCAGAAGCAGTCATCGTGTTACTAAAACACAGTTCAGGCTTTCTTGCTTTATCCTGAGCGCTGGTTTCGCCGTGCGATCACAGAACGGACTTGACCAGTGACGGCCCTGACCTCTGTGTCAACCCTGGGTGCACACCTTACGGTGTGGTACACTGACTGTACTTAATAGGGTTGTGACAGACATGAATGATAAGTGTTTTGAGGTATATTTTGTGGACTCAAAACTCCATGGACCGTGTTGAGTGGGGGGGGGGGGGGGTGGGGGGGGGGGGGGGGGGGGGGTGTCAAAAAGCGATTAGGAATAAATAAAAACATTTGTGCAGGAAAGTAAGCTTCTTAAGAGAAGCCCACTACATACATGTGATGGCAACAAGTGCCTTGGCGACTGGCGTTGGCGATCATGCCTCTCCCAATCCTCGGTCTGCATCTGTGTGTGTGTTCACACCCTTCCATGCCATGACAAAAGACTGTCAAGAATCGGTTCTTTCGTAATGTCCAACCCCAAATGATGTCCCATGACAGTCCAACATTTACCATAGCGATAAGACTGGGTTTTCCGGCTCTCTGATGCTTTTAACGATCCCTAGATGTGCAGAACTGGCCCTAACCCACCTACGTCCCACGAGAGAGTGCAGCCAGGGTCCCACGACTGCACGCACCCTATCTACCACCCCCTGAAATATTAGACTGTCCCCTGACCTGTGGATTTCCCCTGTTTGGGCTAGGATAGTAAGAAAGCACCCAAGAATCTTCTCATGTTGCCCCCCCCCCCTCCCTTCTACGTCTCTCTTTCCACTGATCTCTCTAGTAGTCACAACATGTTTCATTTTCCCTTTTCTCATAATATGACCAACAAATGATGACTGTCTCTCTCTGATGTTTGTGATAAGTTGTCTTCGAGCATTCGCTTTTTCAAAACCTCTAGGCTGCTTTTTTTTAGCAGTCCCATGGATTCTGAGGATTCTTCTGTAAAACCACATCTCTACAGCCTCAAGTTATTGTTTGGCTTGTTTATTATTTGTACATGTTTCATATATCATGTTAAAATTGGCTCTATATAGAATGAGAGAATTTTTTTTTCTAACCCCATTAACCAACTAAAATGAAACTTGACCCTTGGCTATCTCACTGTTGTAAGGAAGAAAAAGAATTACAATGAATGAATTAACGAACGAACGGACAAACGAATGAACAAAAGAAATTAATCTTTGAAAGAAGAAGAAACGAAACGATTGAACCAACGAATTAATCACTTTCCTTGTCTCCACAGCTGGTCATCAGTTGCCTGCCTTACTTCCAGTCATGCATTAACCCTCTCATCTACTTCATGATGTCCAAAAACATCCGGCAAAGTATCCGACACATCGTCTGCTCACACGCCACCTGCAAGCGCTGTTCCCGCCGCCAACTACCGGAGTCTCCAACACATGAGCTCATACAAACCAACCAGAGCCACGCAGCAACAACAGTGGACTACTATAGAAGTTTTGGCAACCACAAACCAACAGCTCACTTATGAGAATTTAAACACACGGCTGACTGACTGACTTTCTACCCCACCAGGACATCACACCACCGACAAACACCCGATGACACAAAGTGCCACCATGTGGATGAGGATTGCCGTGGAGAGGTCCCAGAAACCGCGTTCAGACAATTGTCCATATTCATGGCCTGCCCATATTGCGGCCCCTGGAAAAAGCCATTATATCAAACACACAACAACTTACCACCATTTATATACAGTTCACGAACAGTCAGGCAGAGTTCATTAGAGAATGTGGTACTTTTCTTTCAGTTCACTCCATCTCGGCGACTCCTAGACTTCGTGGCGAGAATAGTCCAATATTAGGAGGGGAGCGGGTTAGTTTTAGTAGGTGTTTATTTCACAACCTAATACCCCTATACTATGGGACTTTCCATGGAACTGCCCACAAAATCTCAAAGTCCCTAAGATGGGGTGAATTAAAAGAAAAGAACCAAGAATGCAAAATTAGTCAAGCCAGTGTAAACCCCCCCCCCCTTTCCCCTTTTTCCCCCAAAGGTGGCCCATCAGGCATATGGTGCTATCTCAGATTTTTATACAACAATCGACACTCAAAGGTCTGATGTGATCGACAGGACGCATACTGCCTTTACTTCCCAGGACATTATGTGGTATCCATTTTAAGGTGGGTCAACCTGGGACCTGATGTATTTTTTTATCTTCTCTATTGGGTTACGAGCCTGAGATCCTTGGGCTTAAATAACATCCAATATAGTTTTATCTATTTAAAAAAAAAACATTGAGTTATGGCCCTTGCCTTTCACAGCTTTTATCTGGCAAGTATTTATTTCCGGTGGTCACATGTGTGTCAGCTTTTTAACTAACCAGGCATGTGTATTTTTTTCGTATTTGTTGGAATTGCATATTTATGTAATATGCTAATGAATGCTCCTTAGCCGCTACGTTGACTTGTCGATCGTGTTTGTGATAATGCAAAGCCAACTATTTCTTTTTGTTTGGTTTGTTATTTTTACGTGATATCCCTTCAGTAATTTGAACACACTTTAACAGGCGTCATCTATCGATTTTATTCAATGTTATGTTAAATTACCATACAAAAACAAAGTGTAGTTTGATATTTTCTCAAAAGATATCTTTATATTTATATTATTTACATGAATATTACATGTGTGGCACTAAGGAAAGAATTAAAACGAGGCGCGAAGCAATCTTAATGAACACTCTGGCCAATGTTGCCCAGACAGACAGTAGAATAGGTTGAGTTAATAATAAGTGTCCAACGATTCGCTTACAAGACAAAGAGGACGATATACTGAGCACAACATCTGCAGATGAGAACAGATAATCAAACAAATCGAAGCGGATTTTTACTTCATAATTGACTTGCGCACTCTTGTCGACATAGCCTAAAATGAGTAGCTAGTCTTCATCCACTTCTAGTCGTTCCTGCTATTCACCCATTTCTTTACTTTGACCTTGTTCCAGAACTGAAGTCTTGAGTGCGCATCCGGTTTACAGATCTTCCTTATTTGGGTGCAGGCTTAAGCTTCGTTGCGTCACAGACAGATGCACTACGGCTTCAGAGTAACTACCCCTATGTAGTTGACTTCTACTAAATGCTTATTGGAAGGGAGGGGGGATGACAGTGGGTCTGTTTTTCTTCTCCATACAATGGGACCCACACAGGATATACAAGTGTCATTCTGCAGCCTTTTGTCTTGCGTACTGAACGAACCACGTTAACGTAATGGCAAAAAGCTCGCCAGCAGGTTCGAATGTCTATGGTTCAAATCCGCATTAAAAAAAGTAATTTTTTTTTCAAAGTTGACTTGGGCCCGCAGGTTTACCTAGCCTAAAACAGGTACCGGTTAGTGTACTGGGAAATAAAAGCGGCCAGTGTGATGTTGATCATATCGTCCTAAGGTGGAAGGGAAGAAGAAGAAGAAGAGGACATGCGCCAAATGTGTGGGAAGGGTCCTGTGTTTTTTGTGTACTGATAATAAATTCTGCTTTACTTTTTTTTTTTTTTTTAGTAAGGCTATCCATTTGTGGATAAACATGGCTACAGCGCCACACGGCATGGACTTATAGAATAAGACAGGAGACATAAGTCTGTGGATAAACATGACTACCAACGCCACACGGCATGGACTTATAGAAGAAGACAGGAGACAGAAGGCTGTAAATAGACATGACTACCAACGCGACATGGCATGGACTTATAAAAGAAGACAGGAGACAGAAGGCTGTAAATAGACATGACTACCAACGCCACACGGCATGGACTTATAGAAGAAGACAGGAGACAGAAGGCTGAATATAGACATGACTACCAACGCCACACGGAAGGACTTATAGAAGAAGACAAAAGACAGAAGATTGTGGATAAACATGACTACCAACGCCACACGGCATGGACTTATAGAAGAAGACAGGAGACAGAAGGCTGTAGATAGACATGACTACCAACGCCACACGGAAGGACTTATAGAAGAAGACAAAAGACAGAAGATTGTGGATAAACATGACTACCAACGCCACACGGCATGGACTTATAGAAGAAGACAGGAGACAGAAGGCTGTAGATAGACATGACTACCAACGCCACACGGCATGGACTTATAAAAGAAGACAGGAGACAGAAGGCTGTAGATAGACATGACTACCAACGCCACACGGCATGGACTTTGAGAAGCAGGAGGAGGCAAACCTGAGCATGAAGCAGGTTAATGAGCAACTTTACTGTGTATACATCTGGGCAAGATTTAAAACCAAACGAAATGTGTATCAGCGAGCTTCACAATATAACAAACACAAACAAAACGTGAACGTTGTGGCTATGGAGCCTTCATCGGCACATACATAAATTAGACAATACTACACAAATACACAACATCACTTATCTTCGTATATCGAGGCAGTCAAGTCGATGTCTAGCCAATAGTCTGGCGAGGCATGAGGGAACATATACATATACACCAGGGGCAGACAGAAAGCGAATTAATAAAGGTCTAGAGATTAAAACAAAAACTTATTATAATTTATGAAGAAATAAGTAGAAAAGTAAGTAGACTGCGATTATTTATTAATAAACAACAAAGGAAAATGTATCAACAACTAATCAGTCTACTGAAATTTATTAATAAGCAACAAAGAAAAATATATCAAGAAACAATCAACTTACGAGAACTGATTAATACCAAGCAGATCCGTCACACTACAATAACAGTAATCTAATTCCTAGGTTTAGGAAACTAGACTTCTTCTTCTTCTCTGGTCTTGTTCTACCTTTAATCGTTAGAACTTCAAGAGATATCGGGTACGCGCTTTGGCATGTGCGACGTAGTTTGGTATTTACTGCTTCGGATTTTCCATCTATCCATGATTTGCATGGTCGACCTCTGGTTCTGCTTCTATAATGTGGCTCGTTGGGTGCACGTCTGGTGATAGTCTTGACATGTCCAAATCGTTTGATCTGTTGCCTCTTTATGTAGTTTAGTACTGGTTTCTTTCCTAACATTGTCATTTCGGATCCTGTCTATTCTAGTTACATTTAGAATTCGTCGTAAAACTATAGTGGATGAGGAAGTCCACTGCAGTAAAAGTCTAACATGCAAAAGAAGCAAAGTACTCATTTTGTGGTGTAGGTAAATAAAATTCCAGGTTTGCAGGCAGCAAACTGTTGGCTACAAAAGAGATAGCCCATGATATATGAGATGTTCAATATACGGAAGTAAGGTTAAACAGTCATGAGCAGGACGTGACGGTTCCTTGGATGAGCTCAGTACGAGAGCACCATGTATTTGCACTGCATTTGTGGAAGCCTCCTTGGATGGCGGGGAATGCTCATGTTCTGCCCCTGCCTTCTCTTGAGCGCTGATCAGCATTATGTGGCTTCTCTGGGTGAGCCTGATTGGGAAATAAAGATGACCACACAACAATAAGACTACCATGTCCTCAGAAACTAACCGGGAAGGCTAACCCGGTCAACAAATGCCAGCAGAAGTTGGATGTGTTGGCCGAAAGGTGCAAATATCGCAGCCATGCTATAAACGAACACAACGCAATTACATATTCGGATGAACGCAGAAGAAAAAGAAGAAGAAGAAGAAGAAGAAGAAGAAGAAGAAGAAGAAGAAGAAGAAGAAGAAGAAGAAGAAGAAGAAGAAGAAGAAGAAGAAGAAGAAGAAGAAGAAGAAGAAGAAGAAGTAGACGAAGAAGAATTCGTCGTAGACATTTAATTATGTTGCTTATGTTTTTCCGTGGCCGTGGGGTCTTAGGCTAAAGGGGCAGTAGCTGACCAGGCGGGATGGATTCCGTCTGGTTAAATACGCTCTTAAACTGCAACAAGCCTAGAAAGCCGGCAGTGGATTATATCTTTTTCGAAGTTAACTATAAAAACTTCGGAGCAAAGACTCATTTATACAGTCAGCAGTTTATATGACATGTCTACATATGTGTCTAAATTTCATTATTAAAATTAAAAAGAATTTAATCTCCCAAGTACACTTCTGAGTTGTTGATGTGTTTATTTATCTGTTGGGTATAATGCAATACAATTGGCAACGATCCGCGGGTCAACTGCAAGGCCTCCGCGGGCTTGATTTGGTCCGCGGGCCGCCAGATCAATAGCTCTGCTGAAGGCAAACCACTGGATAGGAAAACAGGATTGAACGGTGTGGCTTCTGTGATACAGACTGTTCACAACCGGGTCAACTTCACAGAGTTGTGACCCCAGAGTCGAGTAGTGACCCCAGAGTCGAGTAATGACCACAGAGTCGAGTAGTGACCCCAGAGTCGATTGCAGCTGATGTGAAACTTCCTTCTCTGCTGATACACCCGCTGGACTGACAGGCATGAATCACCATTCTGAAAATGATTCACCGGTGGACTTTGTTTCACCCCGTCACTTATTTGAAAAAAATTCAGCTCGTCTTTCTTGCGAGAAGTAGGGCTGCTATCTTTGAACTGTCACACGTCGATTTGTGTTGTTTTGCGCACATTGTTCTGCT